ATGGAGATCTCTGGGAGATTTTTGCCGTTTGATATTATGTGCAGCTGGGAGGCCTCTTGTGGACCAGTGTCCTGAAGTTGGCTCTCCCACCTCATAGGCACAGCACTAACTCCTGGCTGCAGCACCAAGAGCCTTTCATCCACACGGCTCCTTAATTTGGGATGATTTGTTGTCTATTCATGTATTCCACAGATGCAGGGTTCATCAAGTTGATTGTGGAGCTTTAATCCGCTGCTTCTGAGGCTGCTGGGAGAGATTTCCCTTTCTCTTCTTTGTTCTCACAGCTCCCAGGGGCTCAGCTTTGGATTTGGCCCCACCTGTGCGTGTAGGTCGCCGGAGGGGCGGCTCTTCTTTGCTCAGAGAGGACGGGGTTAAAGGAGCCGCTGATTCGGAGGCTCTGGCTCACTCAGGCCGGGGGGGAGGGAGGGGCACGGAGCGCGGGGCGGGCCTGCATCGGCAGAGGCCGGCGTGACGTTGCGCCGGCGTGACGTTGCAGCAGCCTGAGGCGCGCCGTGCGTTCTCCCGGGGGAGTTGTCCCTGGATCCCGGGACCCTCGCAGTGGAGGGCTGCACAGGCTCCCCGGAAGGGGGTTGTGGATAGTGACCTGTGCTCGCACACAGGCTTCTTGGTGGCGGCAGTAGCAGCCTTAGCGTCTCATGCCCGTCTCTGGGGTCGGCACTTTTAGCTGCTCTTGCGCCCGTCTGTGGAGCTCCTTTAAGCAGCGTTAATCCCCTCTCCTCGCGCACCAGGAAATAAAGAGGGAAGGAAAAGTGTCTTGCCTCTTCGGCAGGTCCAGACTTTTCCCCGGACTCCCTCCCGGCTAGCCGAGGTGCACTAACGCCCTGCATGCTGTGTTCACGCCGCCAACCCCAGTCCTCTCCCGGCGCTCCGACTGAAGCCGGAGCCTCGGCTCCCAGCCCCGCCCGCCCCGGCGGGTGAGCAGACAAGCCTCTCGGCTGGTGAGTGCCGGTCGGCCCTGATCCTCTGTGCTGGAAACTCACCGCTTTGCCCTCCGCTCCCCTGTTGCTGTGCTTTCCTCCGCGGCTCCGAAGCTCCCCCACTCCGCCACCCGCAGTCTCTGCCCGCGAAGGGGCTTCCTAGTGTGTGGACACTTTTTCTCCTTCACAGCTCCTTCCCGCTGGTGCAGGACCCGTCCCTATCCTTTTGTCTGTTTATTTTTTTTTTTTTCCCTAACCAGGTACGTGGGGGGTTTCTTGCCTTTTGGGAAGTCTGAGGTCTTCTGCCAGCGTTCAGTAGGTGTTCTGTAGGAGTTGTTCCACGTGTAGATGTATTTCTGGTGTATCTGTCCCCTTTTGGTTTTAATAAACTTCCACTGCCCTCAACCTCAAGCCATTTGGGCCAAGAATCAAAAGCCATATTGTACAATTTTACTGTCCTTTTTAGTTATATAAGTTATATAGGATTATCTTTTTAATTCATCTAATTGGTCTAGATTATGGCCAGAGAGCTTAGGTTTGTTATTGTGTCTTGCCCTGAGTTCAGAAGTTGATTTACACATTTTCATATGGATCACACATAAGTACACAGATGTTTCTGTGCAAGTTAGGGTGACCATTTAGACATCAAGGAAACATCCTCCATATCAGGGCTTTTTCTAAGAATGTGTACCAAATGTTAGTGTGACTTTTTTTTTAATACAGCTTTTTCACATTTTGGAATTCCTTGTCAAATTAAGTAAAAAGCCTTTAACAAGGTTTCTTGTTAAAGAAGTCTTTAACAAGGTTAAGAAGCCTTTAACAAGGTTTCTTAAAGCCAGAAGTTTGCAAAACTCTTGTCCTGCCATCCTGAATCATATTAGTTTAAACTATTAAGCTAGTTAGTTTAGGACTTAACTAATAACTAAACTAACAGATTAAGTAGTTTAATCTTTTAACTAACCAACCATTTAAATACACACATATCAGTTTCATAAAATGACCTATTAGCTTCAGCTGATGACTGCAGTTTTTCGCCTTCTGTGATTAGCATCTTCCAGGTTTGAGAAATAGAGACATCTGGGAAACAAAATAAAAGGTGCTATGTCCATAAAATACCCTCTTACTTCTGAAAAAGAAAGAAAAGAAACAGAAAAGAAAAAATAAATTCAATTGTGACACATTGTGAGGCTTATGACCACTATGTTTGCCTTTCAGATCCCCAGCTCAAGGGTATAGTGACCAGGTTATATTGCAGGCAAGGCTACTACTTGCAAATGCACCCCGATGGAGCTCTCGATGGAACCAAGGATGACAGCACTAATTCTAGTAAGTGACAACCTCAGGCCACCAGTGAACACAATTGGTAGAAGATACACTGCTACTTAAATGACTTTTAAAAATACACTTGCAAATATTGGGTTATGTTCATTCATTTTTCCAAATGTTACACAATAGAATGCCATTGACAATTTTACTTGGACCACATGGCTGGAAATATTCATAGAGCCACAAAAGAAACCTGTCATTTTAAGAGACGTATTAGTGAATCTTTTCAGGTTTTTTTTCCAAACAATTGTCATATCCAGCATTATTGTTACTTTAATCTCATTATCATCAAAGTCAAGTAACTACACTAACACATTCAGGTGAAAGTTGATTACATGTTTACTTTGGAAGTTTTATCTTTATTAGGCCTGTAGCTTCTTAATGATAACTGGAAATTCATGAGTTACAAGGATTAGTTGTTTCAAATAATAGAAATGTTATGTTTCAAATAATAAAAATATTATTTTTAAAAGTCTTTGTGTTCAACAAGAAAAGATAATATCTTTCTTTATAGAGAACATGAAGGCTGTGTGCTTTTAAATGCATTGTACAAATTGTTTATTTGATAAAATTGGGTCTGTGCTTTTATTTAGTTTTTTAAATTAAAAAGCCACCCACTTTCCCTTGTTTTAATGTCTGTCTTCATTTTACTATTTCTTTATATATAACTTTTCTTTGTATTTTTATTCTGGTGCCCACCCCTCGTTCAATTGTGTTTTCCTTTCCCATTTTCTGTTCATATTGGCCTCTGATTCCCTTTAGTTTAGCACATCAGTTCTAAAATAGACACACTTTTTATTGCTCAGGAGAATTAGTGAAAAGCAAAAATTGATTTTATTCTAAATATTTAATCACATATTACTAGTAGATATGAATCTTTTCATTGATTTATCATTTATCCTTCATATACAGAACATCATTCTATGGAAAGAAGGTGGCTTTGAATACATATAACCAAATTATAGATTCTTCCTGTTTTAAAGTCTAGTAATCAACTGTTGAGAAGCACTGATTCTGAGAGCAGCTAATGATATAGACTATTTTTGCATTTGGTGTTGCTAAGTGAAATATCAATATTTTCCCAGCCATTGTGTTTATATTTTAGACTTTGGATGTCACTTCATTTTTAATTTTTCTTTCAATTTTAAATATTTTCTTTGTTTATCTACATTCTCCTCCTATTCAATGTTTAATCTTTTCCTCTCTTTGTTTATATTATGTCATCCTTTTGTACTTTAAATTTTTCCCTGTCATATTTGTTCATTGATTTTTTGTTCGCTCTGTTTCCTCTTTTGATTTAGAAAAAGAGAAGGTAAAGCAATTCAGATACAGAGAAGAAAGAGAAGACATTTTTATTCATAAGACTGATGTCAAACGTTGTTTACTTTTTGGGATTTTGATATTAGGTTGAACTTTTAAAATCGTCAGCACTTGACCATCTTTGACCTATAAAAGATGTCAGTTTCTTCTGATTCATGTTAATACATATATATCTGCTCATTTTCCTTTCCCCACTTTTAACTCCTCACCCATTCTTTGACAAAACGCATTCTCTTTTTCTTACATCTTACAGTCATGGGGGTCATGGACTTTAGAGACTCCTAAGTTCTGATGTCTTCAATGTCCTCTGATTTTCTTCAGCCAGAGTCTAGTAGAGCACGAGAACAAGTTTTCCATAACTATGGTTATGATAAGAGCTATGACACTGATTTATCAGACTAGAGGTTGATGCCATCCATTTTGACAAAGTTTTCAAGAAAGGAAATATACTATAGCCGTATGAAAATGCTGCTTAGTTGGACTTCCTGGGAAAATAATTTCCTTCAAACAAATGGTTTATGAGTTTTTTCCCTACCTTCTCCTTTTGTTTTTGTAATGCCAAACAAATTGGTTATTTTTCATTGTGGACTCAATATCGAGTTAAGAAGTGTCAGGTAGACACTGTCTTTTAAAAGCATATTGCTTCACAATTGAGTAAGCGACACAGTATTTCCTAAATTGTGAAAGTACAGATGTAGACATTATACACACACGTGATTATAGCTGGTTATCTGCATAATATTAAACACTAGACTGGAAAGCTGAGATAGTAAAAGATACTAGACCTTCTGTTCCTGAATGTATGAGGCTTCTTTCCTCCTATTGTGTAACTGCACCGGAGGAACAAGAATCTCTGGGTGGCTTGTGAAATCCTTTCTAATCCCCTCAAATACTGGTGAGGAACAGTTCTGGGAACCAAGCAGGAACAGGAGCCCCAGTGGACAAGCAAATCAGAACCAAATCAGAGTGACCTCACTAGAGGGATTTCGATTCCTATGCAAAGATCTGGCCCACGGTTTCTTTTCTTACAAGTTACCATTGCATTTTATGTGCCCTTTAAGCCAGTTAGGTTAGTTTCTTCACCATTTCAACATTTGCAAAGACAAAGCAGAACAGAATAAAACAGTCTGAGATAAATGTTTCCTTCTCAAAAGGTTATAAAAATTGTATGATTGTAAAATTTAATAAAACTTGGCAGATTGTAGCAGCTTTAGCAAGGATGAATTTTAAGATATTTTCTTTTCTCTGGTTTATCACAGTAATCTTCTATTCCTAGGGAAATGGTTAGCCCTGAAAAGTGTTCTTTAGAAATGGAGGTGAGCATCAGAGATGCTGACAGACAGGTCCTCATTAGAGCACTGCCCTTTTTTCTTGAGGAAGGCTATGATGTAATAATTCACAAACACATTCCATGTTTTTATATTTCTCTGAATGCAAAACAAGGATTAGTCATCTATAGATAGGAAAAATAAAGAGAAATAACCTACACGTCACCCTGATGCCATCCCAAAAGTCGTCAAATGACAAAACTGAGGCTTGAATCTTCAAATTTTCATGATTTGAGCTCAATAAATAGCCCACTACTAAATATGAGATTACTTAAAACTAGGTAAAGTCGAACCAACCTGCTCAGCTTCCTTTGTCAAAAAATTTAAATGTGTTGGAAAGGAGAAAGGCCTGCAGGCGAACCTGATACTAACGTCCTCCCAGGCTTAACAGCCTGAGATCTAGAACTATCTGGGCAAGAAAATGGTCCTAGTAGAGAGGTACTGGAGCAACTCACCTGCTTACTTAGGCTTGCACATGCCCTGGAAAGATCTTTCACAAAAGGTAGTGAGCGCCTGGCTTACCTCATCACCACACTCATTTTCCGGGGTGTGTTTCTTTAAAATTCTTAGAGTTTCCCTTCTATCTACTAAAGGTCAGCATTACCATGACTATGGTGTTTGATTAGGGAGTGGTTTTCTTCCCCAGTTTGCTTCTGGGGATGCCCCGGGGTTTTTCCTGTGCTCTTAAACTTCTTTGTCCCCATTACCAGATACTGCAAGCAGAAGAGGACTATAGAAATATCCATATGCAATAACTATTGCAAGATCAAAGCCTCATACAAACCAATCCCTCTCACCTTAGAAGTTCCCAACCTGATAACTTGCTGTTTGAAAATGGCCGGTCACTCACAGTGCCCACTCCCCGAAAGGCCTTAGGCAGGTGTTTCTTACCTTGGCTGTAGGTCGGGGTCATTTGAGGAGCGTTTGTTTTTAAAAATTCGTGATGCCCTAAACCCACTCCCAGAGACTGATTTAATTCCATTGGTCTGGAGTTGGGTATGGCCATCCTATTTTATGAATACAGCTAGTTTTAAAGTGCAGCCAGGGTTGAATGAAATTCACTATTCTATGGAGACTGGAGTGTTCCACAGAATGAACAAAGTAGCATGGACATCTTCATTATTCTTACTCCCCTAGGTCTTGTGATATTGCTTTATAATTATGTTATATACAAAAAGAGTGAAAAAAACGTAATGATGTTTCATTTAATGTGGGTATCTGTGGTTTTGATTAGCGCCATGGTTCAGTCATGGTCAGCTCTGAATAGGCTTCCACATTACGGTGGTTCTATGGATTCACTTTCCGTTTTCATCCTGTAAATTGTAATAACTATTATTTTAATTATTATTCAGGTCACAACCAAAATCCTAGGGAGGGGGACAGCTTTTTTTTAGTACAGTCATTTTAGACTATCTTCTATAATTTTACTCTTTCCCATACTGTATTATTTTAGTGAGTTCTTGATGCACTTACCTTCTAGGATTATTCCATCTGGCCTATATCAATTATATGGCACCTACAAATACCATTAGATATGTATGAAGGTTAGAATAATTAAGTTTGAATAGGTTAGGATAGAATAGTTTGCATGGATAGATGTACAATTATGGTTTTCAAAAAAACTTTTGCACGTAAATCAGGAATTACCCTATGATGCCCATCCTTTCAAAATGTAAGGGAGATGGGACAGTTCAGGTCTTATAGAAAACAGTGAAAATGGCCAATGGCTTTCTCCCATGAAGAAGGAATACTGAGAGTTACCATGACATAAATACTCAATAAATCCACACTCACGTTTAATATTAACTAATAGAAATAAGCAAACAGAAGCCTTTTTCCTCCATAAGGATATCATAAGCCCCTAGAATCCAACAGAAGACAGTCCAGTGTTAGTTTGCATCATGAAAGCTAATATCCACCTAACCATATATGCCCCTGAGTGTTCTTGCAGGATAATTTTCTAGGGCCATGGCCTGCCATTTTCCTTTCATCATCTGAGTAGCACAGACATCTTGAGATCTCAGGATCAGTAATAGGTAATAATTGGAAGAGAGGGCATAATTTTCCCCTACCATATTCAGAGAAACCATGTGCCTTGGAATTAAATAGAACACAATTTAGAAAGTCCATTTAAAATTATGTACTGAGTAAACCTATCGATTTAAGTCAAAATTGCCCACATTTTTGAACTATGTATCTTTTGTGGAATAAAGGTGAGAGCCTTAACCTAAGATATTTTACTTGTACATTTACTGCGACATTTTAGTGTTTTCATTGCCTCTTCTGGCCTGGTTCTGTTACTTAGAATTAGACTTGAATTAAGAACTAGAATGGGAGCAGATAACCTCCCATAATTAACAGTTATCTTATAAATGTGTCTCTGATAAAATCTCCAAAATCATCCAGCATTTCTCACCAAGAATGGTGCTAGAATACCCCGCTACACAGTCACATGTAACCATGGCATGGAAATGCATTATTAAGGATGTTAAGACATTTTTTAAAAAAAATCAGTGATAACATTGCTGTCTGCACAATGTAAAATATACGTAAAAATACATTTCTGTCAATAAGAGAAGAAACAGAACATGGAAACATGAGTTTTTATCTCTGTCGTGGGTAAAATTGAATACTTTTCCCTCTTTGTTTTAGTTTTCACTCATAGTTTTATGAACTATTAATAAAGAAAATTATCTATGAAATTTGCATGCCATTCAGTTTGATTAGTTCTTTCTAAATTTAGCACATTGGCAGGCGCACATCATTTCTGGGCTCTGCTGGCATATCATGTTGGTTCTGCAAGAGTAATTTAGTTTTGGAATTACCTTTTAAACTTCTTGCCTGTCCTACATTGCAGTGATGAAGCAAACCTTCTACTTAAAAGACCAGAATAAACACTCAACTTGGGCTCTTAAAATTCTGCTTTTTCAGAATATTTGTAGCTTATTTCTTTTGGTATCAAATGGTGTCAGAGACTGTGATACTATAATCACGATTGCAGGCTTGATTCTAGAATCACAATTACAGGCTTGATTCTGTTTATTATGCCATCAGTTCTTCAGAATGCTATAGGGAGATTGCTAAGATCTATAAATTGGAGCTCAAGTGCAAATTTTACTTGTAACAGAAACTTCTTAAATAGAGTAATAAAAGTTAATGAATTGGAACTTCTCAGAAGGTTGTAAGAAACATAATGTTTCTCAAATAGAACAAATGAGACAGAGAAAAGTGATGGGGATGCTTTGCTTCTTCCTGCCCTTTGGTGACAGACTGTCTTTCTCTTAACAGCACTGTTCAACCTCATACCAGTGGGACTGCGCGTCGTGGCCATCCAGGGAGTGAAAACAGGGTTGTATATAGCCATGAATGGAGAAGGTTACCTCTACCCATCGGTAAGTAGCATGCCCAAGATATTGGCCATTCATTCAATGTCTGCAAAATAGCGAGAGCATCAACCACAAAAGTGAGAAAGTTCTGTCTCATGACTCTCATTTTTGCTTTAGTATTTGACCTTTACTGCAATGCTGTAGGAGCTATTAATTCATTAGTCATCAATGTTTGATAATATCAGTGTATCAAGTGGAAGAGTTATATCACCTCTTAAAATTGTGCGTTTGCATATTTTTATATGTCCCAGTTCACAGAAAATTGAGCAATTTTGAAAGCGTTGATATTGATATAATCTTTTTCTACTGTTTAGAATTGTGCTTGTCTTAGGGAGTTTCTTGTAAAAGATTATTTTATAAAAAGAAACAGAATAAATGGGAATTCTACAAAAGTAAATTTAGGAGAGATTAGTTCTTTTAAAAGTGAGAATTCAGATTGAGTAAATGCTTTATTGGGAAAATAATTCTAATATCAAAATGGATATTGCATTTAAATTTAAGCAAGTCTCGGTTTTGTGTTAATGTGTACTAGTAGCTGGGCACCTTCTAGTCTCTTCTGTAATATTTACTGTTTACAAATAATTCATATCCAGGTATAGTGTATCCATATATTATAATGCAGCTAGAATTCATATCTGTCACAAGTCCAAGCAATAGAGACTTAGATGAAAATACTTCTTTCCATTATTCCTTGAGCAAAAGTGGATAAAATCATGGAGCCTCAAAGAAAATTCTCTTATTTAGGTTTGCATGTCATCTTAGTATAAATTCTTTAAAACTCTGTTGTTAAATATCATCATCAAAAAGCCCACATGTAAACATACATACATACACACACACACCTAAAACTTAAGCAGAGAAGAAGCATCCTCTGGGGCCTCCCATGCAATGTGATATATTTTCTTCAGCAAATCCGGGAAATCTGTCAAAGAAGATGAAATGTGAGCTGCAGATTCCCTTCATGGTGAGCTGGGAAATACCCTTGTCATTTGGAACCTTCCTCCACCTTCCCTGAAGGGTGTTCCTGCACACAGACCTGGGCCCTACATTATGCAAATTGCATTCTGTTTCACAAGATGAATATTCAACATACTGGGAGCAAGAGGAAGCTAGAATTCCCTATCTCCCCTTTAGGAAGAATTTGATTCAGATAAAGATCATTTTCTAGAGATACCTTATTTCAGATAAAAGTCAGTTTCATTGATGTGACATTTGTTCTGTTATTTTTGTTTCTTTTACCCGCAAGTAACCTCTGAGATGCCTAAAAATTATTAGATGCAGTTTCTGCCGTAGCTTCTAGTTCTGTTTCTGCCAGTCTGCTGATGATTTTATCCTGTTGTCCTGCTGAGGTATATGCATTGACGTAGGGGAAATGTAAATGTTTGTTTGATCTTTTTGCTTCTGAGATGCTTTCTGTTTTCTTGTGATGAGGTTGCACATGTATGCCGTTTTTCTAAAAGGTAGAGAATATCATCGTGAGTATGTGTCTTAGCTTAAAATCCAAGTGCTGGTTCTGGTCAGTGCAGTCTAAGTGGTGCAGCAAGAATAGAGTGAGGACAGAGCTAACTGCCCAGTCCAGTCCTCGGCACCTTAAATATGGCCTTTCCACCCAAAAATCAGATCTGTGGGCAGCACCTGCCCTAGGATTAGTCCCAGTAACACCATCAAGCTTTTTATCTGACCCATTGTTTTCTACTCTCACCATCCAGATTCTCTAGGTTCTTGGCTTCTGTGCCTCCCTTTTGGTGTCTTGATTCTCTGATTTGCAGATCTTGGTTTTCTCCTCTTCTCATTTTTGACTCTTTGCTCTGAGCCCAGGACCTGGTAAGGAGCGCTCTATTCACCCAGCCTTACCCTAAAACGTCCCCTGCCCAGGCCAGGCCCTTAGAATCCTCAGCATCTTGTAGGAAAAGGATTTAGATAAAAATTGAATGTGATTTCCAGTTTTTACTAATATTCTATGGTTAAAGTGCTCTGTTTATGTCAAGGTAATGAAATTTGAACTTCAAATATTTCAGGGAAAAAGAATGTTTTCCCACATTCAGTCCTTTATTCCATAATTAGTTTCTGAGAGCCTACTAAAATAATAATCTAGAACAACACAATATAACAATTACTATAATATGTAATAGTAATAATGGTTAATATGTATCTAGTGCACTCTGCCTAGCACTGTTCTAAGTGCATTACAGTCTTAGCTCATTTAATTCTCCCAACCAATTAAGCAGATATTGTTAAAATGATAATACTGATGAACAGAGAGCTTAAGAATCTGTGCAGTCACCCAGGGAGTAGACAGAGAAGACAGGATTTGAGCCTTATTAGTCTGACTCATTAGCTTACATTTTTAACTGTTTCACTGTACTGCTTTCATGCGCCAAACAGTTTTCATAATATGGTCTGGCACCCATTCTAAGAAGAAGTTATAAACACAAGATCATGTAATAAAAATCTTTAGTGAATTGTTACCTAGGGAAGAAACTTAATTTCAATTATTAAGAAGTATCATTTGAAGTATAATCTGTTTCCTTTGGAGATTCTCAAGTTAAAAAATCGTAGAAAATGGTAATTATCGGAGGAAAGGTTGATATTATATACTGGGTGCTTAATATTCTTAAAATGTATCACAGGTAACGTTTGAGCTTAAATTTTTAAAGCCGACGTGGTTAACCCAACTAAGAAGTTTTGAACTAAGCTGAATAGCTTTTTGAAAAGGAAAACTCCACTCAAGCTAAGATTTAAAGGAAAAAGTTAATGAAGATTGAAGTCCGAGAAACAAAGGAATCTGTTTTAAGCTTATACCCACTTTAAAAAGATCAAATTAGACTAGTGTCTGATATGAGACCGCTCTTATTGAGGATCTGTAAATTTAGAACGTAGGCAATAAAATACTCAGATCATTCAAAGTGAGTTCCATTAAATGAAAGTCACACTAGGGATCTGACTTGGAGTGTATATTCCTCTATTTGTATTTCAGGAAGTGACTCTCAAAATCCCTTGCCATCCAAATAAAGATATTTAATTTGTCAGATAATTCCACCTCAGGGGGATGAAAGAAGGTATCTTGACTGAGATGTAAATAATCACATTTCCGATGCTGAAGGTACTTGTTCCCTGTGGAATCTCTTCTTCAACATGACAAGAGTCATTTCTTTTGTGGTCATAATGATTGTAATATGTTTCTTGAAGATGCCTCTCAAGAGATTTGATGTTAGATACAAACAGTTTGCTTGAAGATAGAATGCAGGCTGCATGGTCACAGAACAGAAACTGACAAGGAAATACTTTTTTAAAGAATTACTTTAAAATGATATTTAGGAAAAATGCATGTTGACCAACTATAAACTATTTATAGTGCACTTGTATTTCTGTGCCCATGGAGTGATGTGTGAGTTCTTTGCTCATCCCTGATATCCATCTTGTCTCTGAATAGCATCTCTGGACATCCATCCTCAGGGAACTGGTCACTGTTTATCCCAGTGCTGGTGGGGTACCCTAGCCATGCCTCCCAGTGTTCTGTTTTTCTTTAGGTACCAGGCAGTACATGAGACTAATCATGTAATCTGAGCTACAGTGACTGTCACTGGCCATCACTATCCATTGCAGGTGAGCCAAGGGCCTCAGTAGCATCTGATGACTGCTTATCCTGGGGACCAGCCTTTTGTTCTTTGATGTGACCCCTGGGAGCTGGGAGGCAAAACTATAACTGAGCAGGTTTCCATTCATCTGGTTACACAGAGGTGCCCCTTCCATTTTTCATCTTTCATTCTTCATCTCTCTGAATGGGTCAATTTCTTTATCTTAAAAGTATATTAAATTTGAGATGATTGTTAATGTCTTTGTTATTCTAAGAATCTATGACTCTATGTGCATGTTTTTCTGCACAAACAATATCTAACACCTTTTGAGAATGTATATATGTGTGTGTGTGTATATATATATATATATATATATATATATAATTTGTGTGTATCTAGTTTGTGTGTGTTTCAGTGGAATTACACATTGTGCCTAAATTACACACGCATTTATTTACATGATTACAGTTCTGATCACAGTGTTTCTATTTCTTTGTATGAAATGTTAAATAATAGTTTTAAAATTTACACCTATTCTAAAGGTTTACTTACCATGCTGAATATATATTTCTTTTTTTATGAAGTTTTCCTATGGTCTCTTCCACATTATGACTCAGTTGGATATATCATCCAGGCTCAAAATGTCTATTATCCTTTCTTGGTATTTTGGCTCAGATAATTTCTAGTAATAAGAAAGCAACTATAGTGCTTCAGTTAATTTCTCTCCAGCATTCATGTAGTTCCTATGACCCTGAATACTGATGCACAGAATATGATTGATTATGACAAAGGCAAGAATGCCGTCGTTCTACTTAAGGTCACTTACCAGAAGGAAAAAACAATTTAGAAACAAAAGCAAATGGTAGACTACATATAACTAATTTTAAGTCGTCTTTGGACAAAAGGAAAACGTGAAACATCCTATTCTTCTACTGTTAGGTTGATAGTAGGCAATCAACCTGAATGCCTTTAGGTTGGGCAAGTACTCTACAGTCTACAGTTTGGCCACAATAACAACTACTACTTTTTTTTTTTAATTTTTATTGGAGTATATTTGAGTTACAATGTTGTATTAGTTTCAGGTGTACAGCAAAGTGAATCAGTTATACATATACATATATCCACTCTTTTTTTAGATTCTTTTCCCATATAGGCCATTATAGAGTACTGAGTAGAGTTCCCTGTACTATACAGTACGTCCTTACTAGTTATCTGTTTTATATATAATAGTGTGTATATGTCAATCCCAATCTCCCAGTTTATCCCCCCCCCCACTTTATCCCCAGTAACCATTAGTTTGTTTTCTACATCTGTGACTCTACTTCTGTTTTGTAAATAAGTTCATTTCTAAGGGAAGACACTATATACACAGTAACTTTGTTTCTACACACATGTTAACTTTGTTTCTGGGCCTAGAGACACTGGTGT